AGCAAAGTGGTATGAGTCAACATATACTGCCTTAGTCGGCGAGAAGCCCATACCAAAGCGCATCAAGTTTTCTCGAGCAGTGAGTATCGGGTCTCACAGTCGGTAAACTTTTTGCTAAGGTAATAAATGGCATGCTCTTTTCGGCCAGAATCATCATGTTGACTCAATATGCACCCCATTGAATTCTCTAGAACAGTCAGATACATAATTAACGACCTTCCTTCGACGGGTGGCATCAAGATACGAGGTTCCAGCAAATACTCCTTGATTCTATCGAAAGCAACTTGACAATCATCATTCCATTTAACCACCTGATCTTTCTTCAACAGCTTGAAGATTGGCTCACAGGTAGATGTTAGGTGAGATATGAACCTTGCAATGTAGTTTAGGCATCCCAAGAAACCCCTGACCTCCTTCTCAGTGCGAGGGGCAGGAATTTCTTGTATAGCTTTGACTTTGGCCGGAACAACCTCGATGCCTTTGTTACTAATAATTAAACCTAAGAGTTTACCGGACCTGACTCCGAAAGTGAACTTGTTAGGGTTCAGTCTAAGCTTGTACTCTTTCAACCTGACAAACAGCTTTTGCAGATGGTCGAGGTGTTCTTCTTCTGTCTGTGAACGGGCTATCATGTCGTCTACGTAGACTTCTATCTCATGATGTATCATATCATGAAACAAAGCTACCATGGCACGCTGATAGGTTTCCCCGACATTCTTCAGTCCGAATGGCATCACTTTGTAGCAGAATGTACCCCACTGTGTAACAAAAGTAGTTTTCTCCATGTCTTCAGGGGCCATTTTGATCTGGTTGTACCCTGAAAATTCGTCCATGAAAGAAAATACCTTGTGTTGAGCTGTATTGTCAACCAAGATGTCAATGTGCGGAAGTGGAAAATCATCTTTAGGGCTAGCCCTGTTTAAGTCTCTGTAATCCATGCACATCCTGACTTTGCCATCCTTCTTAGGCACGGGCACAATGTTAGCAACCCATTATGGATAGGAAGTAACATCAAGAAAGCCAACATTGAACTGCTTCATCACTTAAGCTTTGATCTTTTCAGACATGTCGGGCCTCATGCGGCGAACTTTTTGTTTAATTGGTGGACAGTCTTCTCTTGTAGGGAGACGATGAACCACAATATTTGTATCAAGACCCGACATGTCTACGTAGGACCAGGCGAAGATCTCAACATATTCATTCAACAGCTGAACTAAGCGCTCTTTAACACTTGGCTCTAGGTTGGCACCCACTTTAACTTCTTTTCTGTCTTCCTCAGTTCCCAAGTTGATTGTCTCTAACAACTCCTCATGAGGTAGAATAGCCCTTTCTTCCTGTTGTAGCAGTCTAGCCAATTCTCCAGGCACCTCATAGTCTTCATCACCTTTGTATTCGGCATGGTAGACCATATCTTCAGGGTCACTGAAGGCCATAGCAGAATTGTTACCCATGGAATCCGGAATGGATGGGTACCTGCATTTGTGAGTGTGGGTGTGTGTAAGGGATAGCCACCTTTAAACAAATAAAATTCAAAAAGAAAGAAAATGAACACAAAAGTTTATATGTGAAAACGTCCTTGATTCATTAAAATGGCATATGAAGATGAAAAATCAAACCCTTACAAATGGACCTATGTACCTCGGGTAAGGCACAAGGCAAAAAGTGTACGAATTGTTTAGGAATTATTACAAACCAACAGAAATGTTCGAAAGATAAATTACTGATTCATGAAAGTAATGGGAACAAAATCCTTTGCCTCCCAATTGCATAATCCTCCTTCAACGGTAGGGAAAATCCAGTCTTCTAGGTTGCTCTCCTCTTCACTATCCTCCAAAGCATTGACTCCATGATGGGTGATCTTCACTGGTGGCCCCCCAGCCCGGGAGCGACGCACAGCCTTTTGAGCAGAAGCAGTGAAACCCAAGCCGAATTTATCGGACTTAAAAGGATAATCGGGAAGTTGCCCCCAGATTGTGCTTCCTCCTTCTTCAATCACAGCCTTTGCATCCTTCAAAGAAGACATCCGAGGCGGAGGTCTTATTTTCATGGGTACATAAGCCACTGTCTTGGTTGCCGCAATCTCCTTAGAAACTTGCTCGAAGTGTTGAAAGGGGGTCTCGATGAACTCACCATTCAATTCCACATAGCGAAAAGAATTAAGATGGCTTATCATGTATTCCTTTTCACCGTGAACCGTCACAATTTTCCCCTGGACAGGGTACTTGAGCTTTTGATGCAGAGTTGAAGTAACGGCTCCAGCATGATGAATCCATGGTCTTCCCAACAAGCAATAATAGGAGGGACGGATGTCCATGACATAGAATGTGGAGTTGAAGGTTTCAGTTCCCACTTTAATCGGGATGTCCACCTCCTCGTGGACCATCCGTTTAGAACTGTCAAAGGCTCTAACAATGATGTTGCTGGGCTTCAAAGTTAGACCTTCACAATCTAGCCTATCAAATGCCTTCTTTGGTAAGACGTTCAGCGAAGAACCAGTGTCTACCAGAATGTGTTCCAGAGTAGTCCCTCTGCATTCCACCGAGACATGCAAAGCGTCATTATGTTTTCTCCCTTTTGATGTTAGATCAGCATCGGAGAATCCTAAACTGTTGTCTGCTGTTAGGCTAGCTACACATTCCTGGAACTGATCCGCGGAGGTTTCCTGGGGCACATGGGCCGTCTTCAAGAATTTGATCAGAGCTTTGGTATGAGCTTCTGAGCAAAGCAGCAGTGCCAACATAGAGATTTTTGAGGGGGTTTTCCCCAGTTGCTCCACAACATTATAATTGCTCTTCTTGATTATTTTCAAAATCTATTCCATTTCTTTCTGAGTGGTTTCAGGGATGATCAACGGCTGAGCCCTTGTCATGACAGGCTCTTCTTGGATCCCTTTCCCTCTATCATCAGCAACAGCAGAGGGGACAACCACAGGAGTTACAACTTCTTCAATAACTGGAGTTCTCGCAGATATGATAACCGGTGCAGAAGTAACCTTAGGAGCGGCTGAGGGTCCGAAGATTGCCTTTGGAGGCGCAATCTCCGGAGAGAAAATTCTTCCACTGCGAGTGATTTTACTCGTTCCGACAATGTTTCCAATTTCGGAAGTCTCTTCATCGGAACTCTCTTCAGCTGATTCAATTTGTTTAATACCGTGGTAGAAGATCTCTCCCCCATAGTTCCACGGTATTGATTTGTTGGACTTGTACGGGACAGGCCCCAGCATAGTTATCTTCAAAGGTGCAATCTTTGGATCGGATGTAATCTTAACAGGTCTTTTGGAGACCTTGGAAAGATTGGCGGATATGGTAATTATCGAAACATCGTTGACAGGAGTCGGAGTAACAGGAGTCTTCTCAAAAAGGATCTCTTGATTATCCATTAGGCGTTGGATGCCTAACTTCAACAACGGAAAGTCGGTCAGTAAGAATGAACAAAGGCAGCAATCTTCTTCACAGCCTGGGAAAATCCCAGACTTTAGCAAATTCAACTTGATTATCGGTAGCGGAGTCATTAAATCATCAACAATAGCAACAAATAGATCCTCTTCAACAGCATGGGCATTGTGGCCATGCTTTGGCATCGGGGTAGAGATCACATTAGGCTTTTCAGGGGCGTCGAATTCCACCTCTTTAGCATCTATTAAGTCCTGGATCTTATTTTTGAGGGCCCAACAATTGTTGGTGTCATGCCACAGGCTGTCTGAATGATAAGCACACTTTGCATTTGCATGGTAGTAAGGAGAAGATGCATTCGGATTCTTCGGCGCTTCTTTCAAACTTGCAAGGTTTAACTTCAAAAGATGAAGGAGAACCTGAGCAAGTGTCATGTTTATCCGGGTGTATTGTTGTGCAGGCCTTTCCACCCTTGCTTGGTTGGTTCTGGGTTTATTGTTTCTAGGCTGATCAGCTGCAGACTTCTGAATCATTACAACCCCCACCGCTGGCCGGCGCTCAACTCTTCCTTGACTTCTTTGGGAGTAGACAGCTGATACCTCTCTCTTTGCTAGAAAGGTCTTCTTGATGGCAGCGGAAGCAGATGTATCCTTTTGAATTTTTCCGCTCTTAATTCCGGCTTCAACTCTCTCACCAGTCAGAATTAACTTGATGAACCCCGCAGACGAACTTCCAATCAGGTGATTGAAAAAGGGGCCTGATAGTGTACCCAAGAACATATCTACCAGCTCCCTCTCAGATAGAGGTGGTTGTACTCGCCCTGCCAAGTCTCTCCATTTCTGGGCATACTCTTTGCACTACAAGAAAATTGGCAGATTGCGACAGGTATTTTTGTAGATTACGACGGTTAAAACCGTCGCAATTTGCTTTCCACGACGGTTGCTTTACCGTCGCAGAAGTGTGTGTCCCCAACCTATTTCGCGACGGTTACAAAAACTGTCGTTCATGTTTACGACGGGTTGATACCGTCGTGACTATCTTTTGAGTTTCTTTTAATTATTGATGGCGACGGTTCGATACTGTCGTGAATATCTTTTGAAATTGATTAAATTGTTTATGGCGACGGTTCGGTACTGTCGCCATGACTTTTGTTTATGTCTTGATTTTTTTTTATTTTTCTATTATATATATTTTTTATTTAAATTATTATCTATGTAAAAAATTTTAAATATAGTTTTTTTTTGTGTTCTTTTTTTCTTTAAATTATTTCTTCTTTAATATATTTATTTATAGTATTATTTTTTGTTTTATTTTCTATCACTTTGTAATATAGTAAAAATAATTTCAATAAAAAATATTTAACATCAATACAAAAATATTCTTATAAAAGAAGCCAAAAAGGGGTATAAAAGGTGTTGTATAAGAATAGAATCAGCTGGAGTATTGTTTTAAAGTAATATCGTACGATATTACCCGAATCTAGTTCGCAAACGATTAAGTTAAACAATTCCATACAACAAAGCGACAGTGGACACGATAAATACATGTCCAAATGAATAATATAATCCTGAAATAAAGCATTACATCATATTGTGTTCCCACTCAAACTCATGTCTCATCATCTCCCATACTGACTGAATAATGCCCGAAGTTCCTGCCCTGTTTGATTCAACAAAAATGGAATCCAGTCAAACTAAATCCAAAGGGACAAATACAAGTAATTTTGTGCTATCTAAATTTATCAGATGTTTGAATAAATAAATGTATATAGTATATTAGTATAGAGCAGAGGACCTCTTCCTTCATGTCAAATCTGCGTGAAGCAGATTCTTTGATTAACGAACATATTTTCCCACAGGAGCTTTTGTCAGCAGGAAACACTTCAGACAGAAATTTATTCACTGCATATTCATCTACTCCTTCACTAAGGATAAAAAATTACATCAAATGAAGAACAATTTGAAAGAGCAAAAGAGTGTTGGATAGAAAGAGCCTTTGGTCATATTAGAGTCATTTGTTTGTTTCTTTGTAATTTAATAAAATCAATCATTTTTTTAAACAAAAATAGCTCATGTCAGACTTGACATGATCAAAATATCAAACTCCAAACTTTGCTTATTATATAAATCATTTAAGGTTTGGTATGACAGATTATCCTACTTAAATATCAAGAATAACATCTCTATGATGAAAGATCTCAGAGGGTTTTATAGTTTCAAATCAATTCAATTGTTTTGATGACAGTATGTGTTGTTTTGAATTGATAGTAGTGTTTTCTTGAAAAATGAATTGAGAAGTTATTTTGATAACTGCTGCACAGATTTGGAAGCAGATTTGGAGGTGGTTTAGAGAATGATGGTTAGCTCAATTGGTCTTGTCAAAAAAGGGTACAATAGCAATCATATTCCTATAAGATCGTGTATGTTCTGTTCTCTCCAACAACAAAATAGGTTCACAAAGGCGTTTCTAGTGAATAGTAATCAAGAGACATCATATTCCTATCTATAATACACTATGACAATGTAGTAAGCTAGTCGTTACACTGTAATTAGATATAACTTATCCATGCCTTCGAATACACATGACTTTGCCATGCCAAAGACTTGATTTGACATTTTTAATTAACAATCAACTAATAGATAGCAACCTATACATAAACTATTCAACAGAAAAACTTCAAAACAAATAGAGGAACTAAACTGAACTCATTGGACACCTAACTAAATAATTCACTTACCTCACAAAGTAGGGATATACCCAGCAAGATTATAAACACTCAGTGACAAAGATCAAATGGAATTAAACACTCAGTCACAAGATTATGAACACTCAGAACCTATAACCTTGTTAACACAGACCTGTCATTCAGGTTTACTGCTCAAGTTTGAATTCCAACTCAAATCATTTCTCTGCTCCCTTAATCAATCTATGCAAAACTATTTATCAGAATTTAGAATTTAGAAGACATCATATACCTGTACATACTCTTCCAGACTTCCAGGTAAACTGTAATGAATTACCTAAACACAGTTATGACAATGGAGTTTAAATAAGAATTATTGTAACACACAAGACCATTTACATTTCAAAGCAAATGAGGTAGTGTGAAAAACAAAGATAAAAGTGACTACAGATTGCAGAGTGGTTCTAAGAAAAACAGCCTTACGTAAAATGTGGCTATCAGAACATTTGCATTAACAGAGACGAAGTAAAGAGCTCAGTTCTCCATTACCATTTACCCCCATTTTGCAATTTGAAATTTCTAACAATAAATAACTTTTGAGAAAAAACTCGATTGTTTCTGATACAGCTAGATAACAAAGGTCTAAAACATAGACACAGAGAAAGCGGGTCACCTTGCAACAAGAGCACAATGAGAAAAGTGGGTCATCATGCAAACTAATGCAAAAATAAAATATAATATAAGACTTACTGCTCCAACATCTCTTTTATCTAGTCCCATACCAAATGCCACAGTTGCAACAACCTTCATAAAAAAAATTGCAAGGTATGAGTTGGACTAGCAATGTTGTATTAGAAGCATTGCACCATAAAATTGATAAATTGAGTGATTAAAATAATAAAATAAATCTAACCACTCTGATCTTGTTTGAAGCAAACAACTCCTGTACGTTGCCACGTTCCTTTGCAAAAATACCACTATGATAACTCTAAATGATGATTCAAATCAATTGTCAGATTTCACATACAGTGACGTGGGTTACACTTACACAGAATGCCATGCAATGTCAAAAAGTGAAATGTGGAGCTTACCTTTGCCGAGATATTGTTATCATTCAAGTATCTGCTAATTTGATCAGTTTCAGACTGAATAAAAAAAATCAATTATCGCATATATAAATATATATGATAATATGATATCCACTGCAAAATAACATTACTTGCAAACTTAAGTAATTAGACACATACTAAACCTGAAACATAAAGAACTTAATAACTTTTACTTTTCAAACAAGGTTGTACATTTCAAATACTGTGGTTGTTGTTGTTGTATAATGCAGATGACTATATAAAACAACATAACTCTGAAATCAAGTACCAGAAAATTTTGAAAATGAAGTCCATATACACACCTGAAATTTGCAGTATACTATGATGCCTTTAACATCCGCAAAAGGAGGAGACTTTATCAGAATCAGTAGGTCTTTCATTCTATCATTGATGCATACGTTTAACAAAATCAGAGAAGGAAAGTTAAAGGGAGTACAGTCAGAAGCGGTAAAATAGAAGCATCTGACTTGCCTATTTTTTATCAAAGACGCCGACAAACGCAAATTGTCCCTTAAGTGTGCATTCTGAATAAGATTTGTAAAAGGAATATCTAGGGCAAACATGATGGCATCTAAGGTTGTGGTTGTAGCAGTTGCTGTCATTGCGAGAACAGAACCTACATTAAGACTTCTATGAAGTAGTGATGCTCTAAGTCTCATGAATGAAGGTCGGAAATTGTGAGACCTGTAAAAAAATCTCAAAATCTAAATATCAACATGGAAGTAGATGCATACAAAGTGAGATCTCCAAATTAACAACATGATTTGGAAGAATTTGCTTAGACAATGCGGCACTGAAATCCCTCACCATTCAGATATACAATGTGCTTCGTCAATAACAACGAGTGAGACAGCTGACCCAGCAGAGATAGCAGACAGAAACTCCTTATTCAAAAACCGCTCGGGTGAAACAAAAAGCACCTGGATGAATTAGAATTGCTAAAATTAGCTTCAGGTAAGTAATGGTACTAACAACATTGACATAATAAATAAACCCACCATGCTTGTAACTTGTATTGCTCATTGAATCGTGAATAAATTGGGGTTTTAGGGTTTATTGTTGGTGATTGGGTTTAATGTCGATATGAATGCTTGTTGTGATGTTTGAATCACAAAGAGCTCAACCCTAAGATTCATGTGAATCTCCAATGGTGAAATCAATGTTAAAGAATGAGAGAGATGTGTGAAGATGAGAACAAAGAAAAAGTGTTATAGAAAACTTACCGGTTGGAAGATGAGAGATGTTCGAAGAATAGTGACGCAGGAGGACATTAGAATGTATCAACTTCATAGAATATATAATAATGCATAAACTTAACCTTAACAAGAGAGAACTTAAATATACATAACAATTATAATTAGATAAAATATATAAGTTAGCAAGAGATTTTTAAAGGTTTTGGGTGCGACGGTTGTTTTACCGTCGTGAAATGAATTTTAGGACGGATAATTTTACCGTTGTGAAAGGTTTAAGGGTGCGGCGGGTGTTTTACCGTCGTGATATGCCTTTTAGGACGGTTAATTTTACCGTCGTGACTAATTGTTGGTGAAAAATCAATGTTAAAAGTGTTAAATGGGGGCCGACGGTTGTTTTACCGTCGTAATAATAATATTATGATGGTTAAATATACCGTCGCAAAATAAATTTTAGGGACGGTTGGTGTCAACTGTCGTAAACACTGTCTCTATATGTCAATTACGACAGTTATCACATAACTGTCGCAATTTTTGTGTCGTTAAACACTAATTTTCTTGTAGTGTTGAAGCCTTCATTTGGGACCATGCCCATACTCTGTAATTGAGTACGGGTTGGTGCTAAATCCGCATTATATTGATATTGTCTATAGAAGGCGGCCGCTAAATCCTCCCAATTGTGCACATCAGACCTCTCTAGCTGGTAAAACCAATCTAACTGCGTGCCTGAAAGATTGTCTTGGAAGAAATGGACCCATAGATCCTTATAAGAAGAATGAGGTTGGATTTTTCTGACGGAAGACCGCAAATGCATCTTTGGACAAGACAAACCATCATACTTAGAAAATATAGGCACCTTAAACTTGGGGGGAATTACAGTCCTAGAGACCAGCCTTAGATCTTCAAAGTCTAGCCCAGGCACTCTCTGCACCTCCATCGCTGTCATACACTCTTTCAGATTTTTGTACTTGTCATCTGTAGCAGGGTACTGCTTCTCAGAATAGTCTTCATCCTCTTCTTCTTCTTCTTCCTCCTCAGACTCAGTTGGCACTGCAGCTCCCTTTCCTACCTCTTCATCAGATTTTGAGGGGAAATCAAGGACTCTTCTAGTTTGACCTTCAAATCTTCTACCCAAAGTAGCCACACCAACTCTTTTCTTTTTCTTTTTCTCCTTTTCCTTTTCCAGCAAGGTTTTGAGATCCTCCTGACCCTTAGCCAAGGTCATGAGTAGCTGCTGGAACTGTGAATTCTGCACTTGTAAGTCTTTAACCGTCTGCTCGATATCCATCTTGCTGAAATAAACAGCAGAGAGATAAGGAAACTTGGTGTGAAGACTTGCTTATTCATATGATGAATGAGATGTATTCATGTAATGCATTCAAGGATTCATAAATTCAAATTCGTTGTAAACAAAAAAAAGAACGCACGTCATATTAATAAAATAGAATTTGTTAGTACATAAATGCCCCATGAGCAAAATAATACAAAATTCTAATGTAAAAAGACGTTGTGCATCCTCTTTGGTGCAATGTAGGTGTTGAGAGTCTGCTCTTCGTGAAGTTGACGAGTAAGTTCTAAAACCTTCTTCTCACTGGCGTAGAATTGGGCTTCAAAAGTGTCACGTTCTCCCTTGAGCTGTATCCAACTCCTTTGACAATCTTCAAGTGATGTTGGCATGTCAGGATGTAGGAGGGTGTATGGAACCTCTCCTTCCAAAACAGGCTCTTTGATCACAGGCAGAATGTAGGGGTAAGGCATCATAAGACTTTGGGCGCGGGTTCGTACCCACTTGAGGTAAGGCTCAAGGGGTATGGAATTCTTGTTTCCCAAGGTCTTACTGTCCACTTTGTTGGGCATCCTCCAAGCTCGGATGAACCTTTATCGAAGTCCCTGATCGTCGTTGTCGAAGTCAAAAACCAAGTCTGGAATCAGCATGTTATGTGGGCCATCCCTTCGGGCATACCCAAACTGTCTCAGAGCCAAGCAAGGGTTGTAGGTAATGCCTCCCCTAATTCCAAGTAGTGGGACATTAGGGAATTCCCCACAACGATCAATGATGATAACATTTTCTCTGAATCGAGAACACCAATGAACATCTAAATGTGTAAGAGTCATCAATCGTTGTGACCACCTCAAACCCTGCTCATTCTTCAAAACTGATTGGGGAAGATGAGAAATAAACCATATTGTCAGTAGAGGAGTACAGTACATGAGAACACCTATTTTCCTCATTGTTCGTGTGTGAAATGAGTGGAGGATATCCCCAAGCAACGTAGGCACCGGGTTGCGAGCCATGAAAATTTTGACAGCACTGACATCTATAAGTTTGTCAAGGTTTGGGAACAAGACCAACCCATATATGAGAAGAGCTATAATCTCCTCAAAAGCTTGTAAGTCTAATGAATTCCAGCATTCTTGAGCTTTCTCAAACCGAAACTTTTCCAAGAAACCCTTGACACCACTTCTGGTTTCCCAATGACCTTTGACATCAGATGGTTGCAATTGTAGGGCTTGAGCAACATCTTTAGGCTTTGGATCTATTTCCGTACCGTTGTAGGGTAGTTGATGGAGAATAGGAATCCTCAGGAGTTGAGAAAATTCCTCCAAAGTAGGCACTAGTTGGTAGTCAGGAAATGTGAAGCAGTGGTGTAGGGGGTCAAAGAACTGGAAGAGAACTTTCACCATGTCTTCCTCAGTGTTGGTGTTGACTAAGTTGAGAAGACGGCCATGCCTCTCGGTGAATGGAGAATATTCTGGAATCTTGGAAGCAAGCTCCTTGAGTTGAGGATGAATTCTCACAATGTTAGCCTGAATAGTTTTCCTGCGAAGTGAATCCATTACCTACAAAACAGGAACAAAGATGAAGATCCAAATCCTTGAAATGGTTAGTGGATGCATATGATGCTTCATGATGTTTATGATGTTATGCACAAGTATATATGTACAAACAAATCACACAAGATCCTAGTTTCAGGCTTGCATGGGGTTTCATAGGTAAGTACCCTCTTGAAGTTTAGTTGGCTTAACCTGTCCTATAAATAGTAGCCGGGTTCTAAGGAGCTCAATATCACTGGATTATTTTCTGTGTTTATTGTTTCAGTTTAGCCACTTAACTGGCGACCGAAATATTCCAAGAAAACAACCCTCAATGAGTGTAGTATCGAGTATCTACCAACTTCGGACTGCACCAAAGCCGGTCATCTCACTACCCCTAAAAAGTCCAAGATGGTTAAGTAAAGGTTCTAAAAGTCCATTAGCGCTTTACGACATCACTCAGCGGCCTCATATTCTCTTTGATTAACTCAAAGGCTACCGGTACCCATAAATATGTCGCACTAATATAGCTATTGCTTCAACCATGTCGGTATACCCCGCACAGTTTCCACAATGTATTGCTATTTACCTATGAATGTTTCCCAAATCCGGGTAGAGGATTCAAACCCAAACAATAGAACCAAATGTAAAGCAATCAAGTCAAGGAATATAAGCATGTAAAGGTGATCTAAAACCCTAAGGTAACCCCACTTTTAAGTTTAGATCCCCAGCAGATTCGCCAGTTCGGTGATGCGGTGGGAGAACTGACTTGAGGTTTTGCATTTGTGTTCGCAAATGTTTCGATTTAGCAAGAGTCGCCACCGACTTTTTATTTATTCAAAGGAAAGGTCAAAAAGCACAGGAAAGACCTTCGAGATGTTTTCTTGGGTTCGGGGGGTAGATTATGAAAAGGGAAGGTGCTAGCACCCTTTTCATCCATGGTTTTCCATGGGCTCTAAGTTACTTATTTTAGATCACTTGCTTTTGCTTTTCAATTGTTTGAAATGGTGCTTTTGTGTGTGGTTTTGAAAATATTTTGAAAAAGAGGCCTTTTTCTAGGCAACCTTTGTAATAATTCTTGTTTGAATGTATACAAAGGTGTTTGTCTTTTGAAAAATGTTTCAATGTTTGAAAGTTTGTTTTGGGAAAATGTTTTGAGATGTGTTGTGTGTTTTTGAAAATAGCAAGGATGGTTTGCAAGTTTGATCAAGTAACTAGGAGCATCTACCTACCTACTCAAAAGTCTTTCCTACACATTTTTAACCCTTTTACATTGTTGTTTTACCATTGTATTTGGTAAACAACCTTGTGTTTGGATGTTAAACGGGACAGGCGTGGGTCATCGTATGGCCATGATAACAATGTTGACAAGTATCTTAGCAAGCTTATTTGAGGGACTAGATCATTTTTGTATAGGCAACCAAGATAGCGTCATCGAGGGACTATGATCTTTTTGTTTTGTTTTTGTTTTTCCAAGATACCTAGCATGCATACCATGGCCATTTTAAAGGCAACAAGTGGATGAAACCCTAGGGGTGCTTGTGTGCATTGTGTTGTCATTTTTCATGCATTTTTGTCTTGTATTAGTCAAGCTATTTGTTTTGATTTTGGTTATCATACAAACCCTAATCTTTCTAACATGCATATTTGAAAGCTATAAAGTGCGTAAAAGTAAATCTACAACTATTACAACATGATTATGGGGAGGGGGATAAAAGTTTGAATAAGGGGATATTTGCAAGAAATATAAAGCCCTAATTCAACTATTACAACCAAATTGAATTTCAATGTACAAATAATAAATGGACAATTATTTAAATATGCAATATATTATAAATATGCAAAAAATGTTTTTGTATTTTATTTTTATGTATGTAAAAATAAATTATTTAAATGTCCTAAAAATAGGGAAAATAAAAGATTATTTTTGAAAAGGGTAAAACCCTAATTTTTTGGTTTGAGAAAATATATATATATTGTAATTATTTATTTATGTACAAGCAAATAAAATAAAATATATACATAATGTTAAAAAATAAAATATGTATGACAAAATATTATTTAAGTATATAAATAATCAAAATAAAAATATAATATTTTTTGTATTAGTTATAAGTTTTTATTTAAGAAAATAAATATATAAACCTAATAAACTAAATATTATGCCAAAAATAAAATAAAATAAAATAAAATGTGAAAATTTAAGAAAATATTTTTGGTATTTTTTAATGTTTAGAAAAATAAAATAAAGTCAGAAATGTAAA